ATCTCCCCCAGCATCTCCCCCATATCTCCCCCACATCTCCCCATATCTCGCAGGCTCGTTCCTCGAGCGGTCCAACCTGCTCTCCGTCCTGCCGCTCTTCCTCTTCTGCCTCATCGCCGGGCCCGCGCCTGACCCACCACCCCGCCAGCCTTCTCGCCACCCTTCCCCCCCTCACCTGTCCCCATGCCTGAGTCAGTCTCGCGCTCCAGTCCGTCGTCGACTCGCACTTCACCGACCACCGCTCCGGCAAGTCCTTTATCGACCGCGAGACGATCGTCCGCGTCTCAAACACGGCGCACGGCCTCCTCATCCCCGCCGCCATCTCCCGACATCTCCTCAGGTCTCCCCATCTCTCCCCCCCATAGGCGCAGGACCTCCTCATCACCACCGCCATCGCGCGGCTCGGACGATCTGGCCTCCCCCCGTGGCGTGACGGGGCTCGATCTCCCGAGATCTCCTCATCTCTCCCCACACATCTCCCCATAGGCCTCCCCCCTGGCGTGACGGGGCTCGGACCCTTCTTCAGCATCATCGCGGAGACGTGGGCGCCCTTCGCGCTCGTCTGTGCTGGCGAGCCACAGCCGAGATCGAGCCGAGATCGAGCCGAGATCGAGCCGAGATTCGGGTCTGCCCCTCCGCTGCCTCGGGCCCACTTCCCCCCCCCCCCCCCCCCTCCCTCCCCCAGCCGGGCTGGTGTGGGGCGTGCTCTCCTTTTGGCTCATCGCGCCGCGCCTGCTGCCCGACCACTGGGCCGAGCGCGCCCTCGTCGAGTTCGGTGTCTCGATCGGGGCTACCTCGACAGGCTCCGCTGCCTCCTAGACACTCCCTAGACACTGCCAGACATGCCCTATACCCCTCCCCACAGGCCTGCTGCTGCTGCGGATGGCGGACCCCAACGACGCCACGCCCGTGCTGCGCGACTTCACGTGCAAGCAGATCTTCCACGTGCTCATCACCGGAGGCGGCTTTTTAATTAACTGTTAATTAACTGTTAGCTGTTAATTAAGAGGTAATCAACTCCACGTGCTCATCACCGGAGGCGGCTTCTTCGACGTCCTCGTCCCGATCCCGCTCTCCGCCTCGACGCAGTCGGCGCTCCCCCTCCTCGTCGTCTCCCTCCTCTCCATCGCCCTCTTCCTCCTCTGCCACCCCGCGGTGCAGCGCGCCTGCCGCCGCCGCCTCACCCGCTCGCCCGCCCGCCGCCAGCTCTCCGCCCCGTCGGCCCGCCGCTCGCCTCGCGAGATCTCGCTCACCCTCGAGGGCCAGCCACGCGTCACCGAAGGCGACATGCGAGCTCACGGCGCCGCGCTCTCGCTTGGAGCAGCCGCCTCGCCGCAGCACGACGCGGAGGCGGGACGGGAGGACTTTAGCGAGGTGGCTGCCCGCCGCTGCGCCTCGGCGCCAGTCGTCGCGTCACCGCCGATACCGCAGGGAGATTGAGCGCGTGGGATACTCTCGAGTGAGTCGTGAGAGAGTTACGTAGAGGACGTCGGAGAGAGTGGAGTTCATACACAAGGCCTCGAGGGAGGAGGCCGCGCCGCCGTGTAGTACGATAGAGGGTATGGAGGGTGAGATGATGGAAATCGGGGGACGCGACCCACCTAAGGTAAGGTAAGGCAAGGTAAACTTCTCCACACACACGAGGTGGTGGGGCAAGGGGGGGCAACCCTCGCGTCTCCACGTCTAACGACAGGAGCCCCACGGCATTCAAAGTGCAAGGCCCGGTGCGCGTGGGTGAGCGGTGTGTGTGTGTGTGTGTGTGTGTGTGCGGTGTGCGGTGTGTGTGTGTGTGTGTGTGTGTGTGTGTGTGTGTGTGTGTGTGTGTGTGTGTGTGTGTGTGTGTGTGTGTGTGTGTGTGTGTGTCACGTCACTGCATCCTCTGCCGGTTCCTCCCGTCGCCTCTTCTTTGTTCGAATGTTTTTCAATCCATCCTTCACGAAGCACCTACAGTAGAGCAGCCAGGCCCGCGTATACCGATAATGCGAGACGACATTAACAGTTGGAGCCGCCCGCAGAGCGTTTGAGTGTTGTCGGGCTACGTGCGCATGTGTCGCGGGCGACGCCCGTCCGCAGCTAGCTGACACGTCGTGGTGACGATGATGGCGAGGAGCATCACGGTGGAGAGGAGCGTCCCGGCGCTGCCTGGGCTCGCTCGAGTTAGCGGTCTATGGAGGTAGTCTTACCCGGGTTGGAGGAGCGCGAGTTTGTGCAGAAGTACGCTCCGCCCTCACTCTCCCCTCCACACGCGGCGCTGCGACGCGACACCAGGTCCTCCCCGCCCTCCCTGCTCCCTTCTTGATCGCGGGCTGGTGTGAGGTGTGGCGCAGGTACTCTTGGTTCGACACCCACACCAACAACCAGAACTATGAAAAGTTGCGCACGAGTGAGCTCATCTTTGATGCCAACGAATCGGTGGCCGTGCCCGTCGGCGAGACTTACGCGCGCCTGTGAGCGCTCTCTCGGCGCCAAGGTCTGGCTCCGGGCCAGCCAGGGTGCTACGGCTTTAGCGGGGTCAGGGGCGGGAGCGCGCCGCGCACACAAACAGATCTAAAGGCACAAGGGCGTTGGTTAAAGGAAATTGCGTTTACGAAAGTAGTAACCGGGATGAACACAGCTCTGCGCTCGCACCGGCGTGAAGCTGAGGGCTCATCTCGGGGAATTCGGCTAAACTCAATGGACAAACTCGTCGAGACGGAGTCTGTCGCGAGGAGGAGAGAGCCTCGAGGAGGAGGACGGAGCCGACGAGCGAGCAGAAGACGGCGGTGCACAGCCCGCGCCGCAGCGCCCGCCGCAGGTTCTTGCCGTGCCGCGACTGCGGGAGAACTTCAGAGCGCTCTGGCAAGACCCTTGCTCTGCAGGACGGGAAATCGCGAACTCCCCCCCCCCCCCCCCCCAGGGGTTGCGACGAGAAACATGCATTTTAAAGGCCTACCTTAGCTTGGGGACGCGCGCCGACCGTGCATGATTGGGACTCGCGGCGCCTCCCAGGCCCGCCGCAGCGGTCCCATGGGTACCTGCCGTCCGTACCGGTCCACGGGCTGGCCCTGGGCACCTTCGGACCGAACTCGCTGCGCAATCCGGTCTCGGTGTTGCTGTCGGCGGCCGGCAGCCCTCAGGGGTCGAGTCGCAGGATGTCGCAAAACTTTGCCACACGTGCTCGAGCGTCGAGCTTCCGGCGTTCCCAGTCGCAACTACCTCCGGCGAGGTGGCTGACGTTGCACAATCACATCGGCGGCGCACTCGGAGAGCACCAGTGCTCTTTCGGTGGGCTGTCGTGGGGTGGTGCACGACACGCATTGAGAGGAGCCGAGAGAAGCAGCGGCTGTGGGGCTTCCATGGCTGCCAAAGGGTGGTTCACGACTACTCTGAGCAGGGCTGTGCTTTGGTGGGGTTGTGCTTGAGCATGTGTGAAGTGGGAGTGCGTGCCGGCGGTGTCTGTGGGTGAAACGGGTGTGTATGAGGCCGTAAGAGCCGTGGTATGAGTCAGAGTGGGCTTCATCACCCAAAATAAGGACGGTTTGGGACAGCTCAGACTTGATACTGATGGGCCTGGGCCAGGAGAGCGACAGAGAAGGCGAGGTGGTGAGCTGGGAAGCCGCTTCGTCGGCACCTGGACGTGTCGCGATGAACTGCCGAAAAGCACCTTTTGCGGCTATTGCTCAAAACTTCGGGAGACAAGGCCTACATATTATGACTGCATCCATGAGCCTGGTGTATGAGGGCTGCGGGACGAGACATATCACGGTCGCTGGCGCCGGTGATGGCCTCCGTAATGCCCTCGCAATCGCCTCGGATGGGGTCCACCGGAGACAATCTCGAGCCCTCTCCGTGGCATCACGAGCCGGTGTGAGCTTGCAGACCCAAGATAAGTGCGGTCTGGGACGGCTCAGGCGTGCTACTGATGGGCCTGGGCCAGGAGGGCGACAGAGAAGGCGAGGTGGTGAGCTGAGAGGCTGGAGCGTCCGCGTGTGACCTTGTCGCGATGCAACTTGCAAGATAGTGCCATGAAGCGTTGTTTGCGGCTATTGCTCAAAACTTCGGGAGACAAGGCCTACATATTATGACTGCATCCATGCACTTGGTGCATGAGGGCTGCGGGACGAGACATATCACGGTCGGTGGCGCCGATAATGACCTCCGGAATGCCCTCGCAATCGCCTCGGTTGGGGGGGTCCCCCACCAGAGACAATCTCGAGCCCTCTGCGTGCGGCATCAGCCATCACGAGCCCCGGTGTGAGCTTGCAGACCCAAGGTAAGTGCGGTCTGGGACGGCTCAGACGTGCTACTGATGGGCCTGGGCCAGAAGGGCGACAGAGAAGGCGAGGTGGTGAGCTGAGAGAGCAGGAAATAGCGCTTCGTGGCACTTGCATCGCGACAAGGCGTCACAAGCGGACGCTCCAGCCTCTGTGAGTCTCCAGACTCCAACCGGCAAAAGCCCGCCCCCCACCCCCACCCCCCGGACAGAAAAGCCCTCATGCACACCGAACCGTAATTGTAATCGTACTCCTCCAGTCCGCCCGCCGCCTCCCGGATGTCACTGTACCGTTTGTGAGTCGTACATGCCAAGCGCCGACACGCGGTCGGGGGTCGGGTGGCGGGCGTTCTGCGGTACTCTTCATGTAAGCGGGCCCCGGAGGGCCCCTAGGGAAGGAGGCGGGGAGCCTGCCCCCCTCCGTCACGCCTCTCCAAAGATCTGGACGAGGAGGAAGTCCGCCTGCTGCACCAAGCCAGCGGTCGGCTCGATGCCGAGGGCCGCGTGGGCGTCGCGCACCAGCTTGACCAGCCCGCCGCCCGGGGGGAGGGAGAGGGCCGCCCGGATCCGCTCAACCTTTTGCGGAAGCGTCTCTGCGGCCGGGGCGGCGGGCGGCCGGCCGGCCGGCGGGGCGGCGGCGGCCGGGCGGGGCGGGGCGACTGGAGGCGCGCGGGCCGGCGCCGGCGAGACTGGGTACGGGCTGGCGCTGGAGAAGGGAGAGCCGGAGAAGGGCGAGTAGGGCGGAGGCGGAGGCAGCGGCGGCGGCAGCGGCGGCGGCTCCTGTGCAGCCAGCTGGGCCTGCAGCTCCGTGGCCTGCCTCTCCTTGACCAGCCTCGCCATCGCCTCGGCGCGCGCCACCGCCGCCGCCGCCTCGGCAGCCTCGCGTGCCGCCGCCTCTTCCCGCAGCTGCGCCTCCCGCGCCGCGACGGCCGCCCTCGCCGCCGCCTCCCTCGCCGCCGCCTCCCTCGCCGCCGCCTCCCTCGCCGCCGCCTCCCTCGCCGCCGCCTCCCGCGCCGCCGCCTCCCGCGCCGCCGCCTCCCGCGCCGCCGCCTCCCGCGCCGCCGCCTCCGGACGCGCCTTCCCCAGCCCGAGCTCGCCGGCGGCACGCGCCTAATTAAGAGTTCATTAAGAGTTAATCAAGAGTTAATTAGCCCGAGCTCGCCGCCGGCACGCGCCTCGTCCCAGAAGAGCCAGTTGCCTGCGTCACACGGCGCCGGCGGGAAGAGCTCAGAGGGAGGCGTCTCGGACGTGGTGGCGCGGGTCGGGGAGCGGCGGCTGCACACCTTTGACGACGACGGTGCCGCGCTGCGAGAGTGCGTAGAGGGCCTTGCTCACCCCCGAGCTGGACACGGCCTGCAGCGCCTCCCTGGTCTGCGGCCAGCCGCGCGCGTCCGCGCCGTACGACTGGAGGAGGAGGCGCAGCAGCGGCACCCCTTCTCCCTCGCCCCCCCTCGGCTCTCCTCCCCGGTGCTTTCCGCCCGCTCCGCTGGAGACCACCGGGCTGGAGAGCACCGGGTTGGCAACCGGCTCCTTGGCCGGGTCCGCGCCAGGCGCGAACGCGGCGGGGTCGGGCGGGGCGGCACCCGGGGGCGCGGCGCTGCGCGGCAGGACACGGTGCGCGTGCAGCGTCAGGAACTTCCCAAACGCGCCGTGCTTCGCCTTGATCCTGGCGTTGAGCGCGGGGAACGTGGTCCCGAACCGGCCGCCGAGCACCTACCGGAAGGGTCCGAGAAGCTTCCTGCACGGCTCCGGACGCGTCGCCAGCCCAGGCCACCGCCGCCGCCGCCTTCTGCCACTCCTCAAAGTCGCGCGGCGGGCTGCCGTCGCCGCGCGCCTATCGGAAGGTTCCGAGAAGGGTCGGGGAAGGCTCCAGTCGTGCGGCGCCTTAGCCGTCGCCTCGCGCCGCTCGCTCGATGCGGCGGCCTTACATCTCGGCTATACCTCGGCTACACCTCGGCTATGCCTCGGCTATGCCTCGGCTATGCCTCGGCTACATCTCGGCTATATATCTCGGCTACACCTCGGCTGTATCTCAGCTCTATCTCGCGCCGCTCGCTCGGCGATGCGTTGTGCGTCGGCGCGGAGCAGCGCCACCGCCCGCCCCACCGCCCCCTCCTCTCCCTCGGCCGCAATCTCGTCGTCGAGGCCGCGAGGAGGCTCGGTCAGGGCGGGGTAGGGGCCTGGGGCGGAGGGGCGCCGGGAGGGTCAGGGGGAAGGGGTCAGGGGGAAGGGGTCAGGGGAAGGGGTCAGGGGAAGGGGTCAGGGGAAGGGGTCAGGGGAAGGGGTCAGGGGGGAGGGGTCTGAAAGCCTCCGCAGAGGGGGGCCGCGCGCCGGAGAGTGGGCGCCTCCTCCGCCTCTGATCTCGGCGCATCTCGGCGCATCTCGGCGCATCTCGGCTGCATCTCACCTCGCGAGATCAGCGCCTCCTCCGCCTCATCGACCGTCCCGCCGCTCGCAGTCAGAGCAGCCACGCACGCGGCTCGCGGCGCGCGCGTGAGCAAGTGCAGCTCCTCCACCTACGGGAGAGGTCCGAGAAGCTTCGCGGAAAGGTCCGCTCCTCGCCGACCTCCCGCCGCAGCTCCCCCCCACCGCTTCCCTCCTCCGGGGCCGCAGCCGCAGCAGCGTGTGGATCTCCTCCTCCTCCGCGGACCCCTTGCCGCTCGCCTACAGGCGGCGCCTCGCCGAAGGGTCCGTGGAAAAGGCGCACTCCTCCTCCGCCCGAGAGCAGTGTTGCGGTGTCGCCGCCGCCGCGCGCAAGTCGTCCACCCGCCTCCACACCCACCGCTCGCACTCGTCCGCCTCGCGCTCGGAGCATGCCTAGACAGTTCCTAGACAGTTCCTAGACAGTTCCTAGACAGTTCCTCGCACTCGTCCGCCTCGCGCTCGGAGCACGCCTTGATCGAGAGCCTCTGCAGCTCGTCGCCCGCCTTTGGCTTCCCCACGGAGATGGAGGCGCACCCCTCCTGCTGCAGACTCTTGATCGCCTCCCCTCCCTTGCCTATCAGCCCTCCCACCAGCTTCACCTACCGATCACCACCCACAGGAGCCTCAGCCGAGCCTCAAAGACTTGCCCGCCACACACCGCCCCCACACCGGAACGGAGACGGTGCGCCGACACGCAGCCTCCTCCTTCCTCCGCGCGATCTCCGCCGCCGCCGCCGCCCTCGCCTCCGCCGCCGCCGCCTCCGCCGCCTCCGCC